CCGACTAACAGTACGGGCTTAGCAGCAGACACAGAATCCAGGAATCACAATTTCAGGAGTACAGGAGCAGGACAAGAAGTTCAGAACTGGTCAGAGGCAACGAAGATGTCCCAAGAGTTTCCACATCCTGCCTGTCAAGCTTTTTAAAAACGGAGTGTTATGCTCTCACTCATGAGATTCGCTTGCTTTGCGGGTTTGCAGATGCACACTCCTCTGGGGAGGGTGGGTCTGCTCAGGTCTGCAGGATTGGTGCTTGGTTCTAGGGGGAAATACTGCACTCTCCTGTTCTGATCAGATACTGCTGCCTCCTGAATTGCCATCCCCCTCAGCTGCCCATAGCCCAGCCCAGCCTCCAGTAAGGCTCTCCACTCAGCCAGGAGATCAGAGCATGGAGCTGGCATCCTTGCACCCACTTCCAAAGTGGTTGAAGTTGAGTCCCCTTCCCAAATCCTTGCTCTCACCAGTCAGCTCCCCCTGCCCCACTGGTTGGTCGTTTCTTCCTCCTCCTGCGTTGGGGCCTGTCAACCTAAACCTAATCCTGATATTACTGTGAGGTGTACTACAGGTGTCACAACACTTATGGATTTCGAAAGCATGAAGCACAACTTCTCAGGAAGGTATGGCCATTTTGCCATTTTATTTATTTGGGCAGTATATGTATTTGGATACGTGTACCCAGCTGTTCAAGGAAAAAGCATTTCACAAGCAACAGTATAGCTATGCTAATTTAGAAACAATAAACAATTAAATTTTAAAAGCTAAAGAATTTCCCTGAAGCTCTCTCTTGATTTCCCCAGATAGGGACTCAGGGCTGTTTAAAGCAAAGGACAAGACTATTCTCCTCCCGGTTCATTTACCTCTTATGTTGTGCATTTTCGATTGTAAGCCTGATGGAAGGGTCTTTTATTTTTTAGCAATCTCTAAACTTCTCTGGGATCGTTTTTTGGCTTAAGGGCAGGGTGATCTTTTAAATATTTATATAATTGGCAGCTGAATCTCAACATGGGTCCTGAGACAGCATCCTCCACTGTACATTGCCATAGCAGGGTAGCTTTTTAGGGGACTTGGGGGGAATGGTGGTGTTGGGGTTGCCTCCAGTGGCTGCCTCCTTCTGCCTAGTAGGGCCAGCACTAGATAGATCCTGGAGTCCACCAGCAACTACCAGTTAGTGCAACACACCCTTTTGTTTCACCCTTATCCTGAATGTTATCAGGCATAATGGGCAACATTTTAGTTTTCACAGCCAGTTTGTGTTCCAAATATTTTCACGAGCCTCTTCTCCCAGGTGCTGTAAAGACTTCTGTGGGGCCATGTGATCTTGCTCCCATCCTTTACCTGCTGCTGAAATCCAGATGTTCTGTTATATCAGAAAGAAACCCTAGTGGCTTAGACGTGTCCTGTCTAGACATAAAGCAAGCCTTCACCGTTCTCTTTGGGGTTTTAGTGTAGTATTAATGGATTATAGCTAAGGGTACAATAGCTATTTATGAATGGATTGACATGACCACTTTCTCCTGGCTATGAACAGAACATTCCATGTGTTTTGTGGAGATACATGTGAAGATCAGTCCTGTGATTGTGAATGGGTCAAATGTGCATGTACTACAAACACTTGGGAAGTGTATCTTTGGGAACGACTCCATCCTTTGGGAGTAATGCAGCTGAAGTTCTTCAACAAATTAATTATTGGGCCAGCACTGAACTAGCCTTGGAGGCTTAGAAGGTATACTGGCTGGGTGTATTCTGACATGATGAAAGTGCTCAGGTCACTGTGCCATCCAGATGCTTTGGACTACAGCTCTCACCAGACCCAGCCAGCATGGATGCATGGCTGACTGAGAAGGATGGGAGCTGCAGTCCTAAACAGCTGAAGAGCACCAGGCAGGAAAAGGCTGCTGTCGAGCCACCCATGCATACTCTAGTTTAGTCAAGCATACAATCTCTTCTCTACAGGATAGTATAGGCATACCTTGGACATAGTGTGGGTTTGGTTCCAGACCACCATGATAAAGCAAATACCGCAATAAAGTGAGCCACACATTTTCCCCCTGTTTCCCAGTGTGCATAAAAGTTATGTTTAAAGGTAAAGGTAAAGGTACCCCTGCCCGTACGGGCCAGTCTTGACAGACTCTAGGGTTGTGCGCTCATCTCACTCTAGAGGCCAGGAGCCAGCGCTGTCCGCAGACACTTCCGGGTCATGTGGCCAGCGTGACAAGCTGCATCTGGCGAGCCAGCGCAGCACACGGAACGCCGTTTACCTTCCCGCTGGTAAGCGGTCCCTATTTATCTACTTGCACCCGAAGGTGCTTTCGAACTGCTAGGTTGGCAGGCGCTGGGACCGAACGACGGGAACGCATCCCGCCGCGGGGATTCGAACCGCCGACCTTTCGATCGGCAAGTCCTAGGCGCTGAGGCTTTAACCCACAGCGCCACCCGCGTCCCATCATAAAAGTTATGTTTACACAATACTATAATCCAGTGGTTTTCAACCGATGCGCCACAGCACCCTGGGGTGCCTTGAGTGATGGTCAGGTTTATCCCAGGTATCACACAGGAGAGCTGCAGAAAGAATATAGCCAAGGGAGCCATGGACTCAAAAAGCTTGTAAGCCTCTGCTGTAGTCTAGTAAGCCAGCACCCACCACTGGCTGCAGGGGCAGGAGGGGGGAAGCCCAGCACCAGCTCTAGCCAGCTCCACTCCCTGGGCCAGAAGGGGGGTGGCAGTGGCAGGGGGCTTCCTTCCCCTGAAAGTGGCCGGGCTGCCTGCAGCTGCACCCACATCCTTGTAAGGAGCAATATCTGTGAAGAGCAATAAAGCAAAGATCAATAAAATGAGGTATGTCTGTATTTTGCTAGTAGCCAGTTGTGCACAGTGCTGATGGGATAGCCTTTGTGGCAGCATTAAGCCCCTCCTCTTCCTCTCTTCAGAAAGTTTTTCCAAGCTTTTTATTTTTTAAAAAACCCGATTTTCAAATAGGCACAATACAAGCCTTTGATCAAAAATTGTACAAGGGAAGGGAAGAGAAAATCAGCTTTGCATTCAGAGGCAAGTATGTCTTTTGAGGAGCAAGGCAGATGAAGCTTGTATGTGTGTTTGAATGCATCCAGTGATCCCTACCACTTATTTTGTCACAGCGTGTAAGTAGCAAAAATAAAAATAAACAGGTTTTCACGAACACCATGACTGCAATATTCACCTTTTTGAGGGAAATTAAACCTATATTCAGTTCTGCACCGAAGACAATTTCTCTACAGTCCCTCAAGGGCAGTCATAAAGTATGGGGAAGAAAGGTGGACTGAGGCTACATTTTTTATTTATATTTTTATCTCCCAAACTACTTATTCAGATATTGACTCAGACAAAGGCCAGAGCTAGGGGCCCTGAGTCACTCAATAACTATTTACTGAAATGAAGGTAACACCCACAGAAATGTAGGTAAATACGAATATATGAAACTGGCAAACTGTCTTATTCCACCCGATCTAAGGTCCATTTTAGGGACGCGGGTGGCACTGTGGGTTAAACCACAGAGCCTAGGACTTGCCGATCAGAAGGTCAGCATTTCTGTGCGCTGCTCTGGTTCGCCAGAAGCGGCTTAGTCATGCTGGCCACATGACCCGGAAGCTGTACGCCAGCTCTATCAGCCAATAAAGCGAGATGAGCACCGCAACCCCAGAGTCGGTCACGACTGGACCTAATGGTCAGGGGTCCCTTTACCTTTACCTTTTAAGCTCCATTTAATCCACTGCTGAATACTCTGACTGGCAATAACCTTCTATGGTCTTCAGCATAAACCTTTCCAGTTATGTTGCTTGAAATCTTTGAACGCAAAATGCCAGGGGATGCTTAGGTTTTTACTATATGCTATCCATGTCCTCTGTTATTGGGCGATGTCTACCTCCTCCCTTTAGGGATTGTCTCGATCATCCACACATTATTGAAACCATTGTTTACTCTGGACATCGGCTGCTGCTATGCAGAGGCATTAGGTTCTCCTAGATTTCATCACATGCTCAGTTCTGCATATATTAACCATTCTAGACTTCACAAACAGCTTGTTACAAAGTACTAGAGCAGCAAGCAATGAAACATCTGAGAATCAACTGCTACTCTTTTCTCATGCATACTTTGATGTTTTGTTGCTAGAGAAGCAAGGTGAAGCCTCCTCAGCAAATTGTCTTGTAGCCACCATAAATTGTTAGAACAGCCCATACTTGTCCTTTGACAGCTGTTAAAACAGTGGTACCTTGGTTCTCGAACTTAATCCATTCCAGGAGTCCATTTGACTCCTGAAACTGTTTGAATACCAAGGCATGGCTTCCAATTGGCTGCAGGAGCTTCCTTCACTCAATTGGAAGCTGTGGAAGAAGCGTTGGATGTTCGGCTTTCAAAAAACGTTCACAAACTGGAACACTTACTTCCGGGTTTGCGGCATTTAGGAGCCGATTTGTTCGGGAGCCAAGCCATTCGGGAAACAAGGTACCACTGTAACTGGTTATTGATCCCCCCTTTTCTACCCAGTTGAGTTCAAGTGAAAGAAGCAACCAGACTTCTGGTACTAGTATATCAGATGCATTAGTAATCCATAAACCCTCACTTGCCACTCTTTGCAGTGGGCTGTCTTGTCTGCTAGCACAGGGTGTGGGAAGGAGCCAATAGGATTCTCAATGTGGCAGCCCACTGGTGGGAGCCAATAACAGATTCTGGCTGGAAGATGGGCGTTGCCTGAGGTAGACTGGCAAGAGAACCTTCCTGTAGGCCGCTCCAAGGGTATAAATTGCAAGTACAACCATAGCAATTTCCTCCCCCACAAACCCTCTAGAGAAGATACAACTGCTGGCAATCAAACATTTGCGCAAAACCATAATAGCTCAGAAACAGAGCCCACCTCAATCCTAGGTTCTCTTGTTTTGTTTTCATTAATTGAACAAAACATTCAAAACAAATAGCTTTTTAAAATAAAATTATATTTATGGTAACTATGGCACCTAGATACACTTAACACTGTCAATAATTTAGTACATCTTAAGCTGTTATTTTACTACGAGCAATAGAGAACAGCGTGATTAGAAGCAGAATAATACAACAGTTTGAACGTTAACATGAAAAAGATGGATATTTAATAAAGATATGAAGCTGAAATAAAATATACATTGAAAGAAATAGGTTTGTCTGCAGTTCTCTAAATCCATGTATAATGCGTACAATTTAAAACAAATTCAACATTTATTTATTTATTGGTAAATATACAGTTTTAAGAATTATGAAATGTTGCTCATAACTATTTGTGTTAAACTAGTTAGTTTAAACACTGTGGGTAGAATTAAACATGCTCTTCCAGTCATTCCATCTGTACAAGCCTTCTGGCTACCAGATGGAATGATACCCCTCCCCCTTTCTCCATGTGCTGTTCTGGGGGTTCTTCTGACACCCCCTTCCCCAGTCAGTTTTTTGGATCATGGGAGTAGGAGATGAGGCAATGCTCCATTCCACAAATGCGGCTAATGGGGTTCGTTATGTGAATCTTGTCCGCTGTTTTGTAGAGATATCCTAAAGCACATATGAAAGTTATATATATGATGATGAAAACAGAGGATTAATCCTGCAAAGATGGATTATTATTGTTCAGTGCCAAAAGGAGAAAACGAATATGTACAGAAGCAACTTGCACTGAATTTGCCAGTGTCCTTAGAAATTCAAAAATCTGTATCATGTGAAAATTAAATGTCCTTTGAAGAAGGTTTTCATAGGAAAGTTGTTACTCTGGGTGAATCTGTGCAACTCTAGGCTGCCCTACTGTATGTCAAAGTGAATCAAGCTGCTTCAGGTAGAGGAATTTAGGTGGATAGATGAAGGCAGGAACTGACTTTCAGAAGTGTTGGCTCTAATATCTGGAGCACCATTTGGCACTCTGCTCCAGAGAGCAAAATGTCTTGGTCTAGAACAGAGTCTGGAAGTAATAAATTAGTGTTGGAATGAGTCCAAAAGGTAGATACAAAAACAATTACATTTCAGTAGATTTTTCGTGTCACTTCTTCTATAAATCTATTCTAGCTATTAGAAAACATACAGCCTGGTCCTATGAGTTGTGTCACTAGTACAAACATTTAAGGTGCAGTGCAACAGATGCTGCACTGATGCAACAACGTTGTCTATGGCTTGGCACCATGAGCTGATCCAAGGTTTTAATGGCTACTTCAGCATATTTCAAGCTGCTGTGTTGGCAGCTGTGAGCCTCTCCAAATGTGGCACAACAGCATTGCATACAATTGCTAATTAGTGTTGAACAGGACAGACAAGAAGCATGATGGAGGCGTGGTTGATGTATGGCAGGGAACAACTGAACAATGTAGCACCACAAACAGAATTTCAGCCACCATAGGGTATCCAATATTACACAGTCCCCCATGCCACTGAGCTTTGGTAGTAGCTTGTAGAGGTTAGGGTGCTGCAACTAAGAGGCAGCAGAGTAAAATAGGCTTGTGTTAATTGCCAACCAATGCATTGCTTGTGACAGATGCCACAACGTTTATCGACCACTCTGAGTGATATCACAGAGCTGATCTGTGTCAGTTCATTTTTGTCAACTGCTAGGAAAGGCTTTGCAGTTAGTACTGTGAGAGATTGCGCTGCTGCTACCTGCAGCCGCAGGACTCCACTACCATGTCTTCATATTGTTTGTAGACTACATTATTAGCAGAGTCAATAAACAGGATGCTAATAGGACTCAGTCTTGTCGGAACACAACAAGTTGGAGGTGTTGACTCTGGGTCCATAGAGTTCATTAATGTTTGGATAACAGCATGATTGGTGGGTTCCAGATGGGACCGAAGAGGAAATTCGCAAAGTCCTTCACAATGATAAGCTTCATACTCAAGAGGGGCTATTATCCAGTCATCCCAGCCCATATCCTTAAAATTCACATGAAGTGCTTTTTTGCTGCATCTTGTCTTCAGATTCTTGTTGGGCCTCTTTCCTTGCCGAGTTGCTAGAGGAGCCCGTCTCTTTCTTCTCTGATTGAATAGGTATTCATAAACAGTTTTGTCATCCTGGCCAGATCTGGCTTTTATTTCATTGAAGAACAAGTCTCTTTTCTTTGTCCTACCAAATACTAAGAAGAGAGCTTTTTCATTGACTTGCCTCCCTGTTCTGTTAAATCCCACAGTCCTTAAATCAACAGGCCTTCCCCTTTCAAAAGCCTCCAGTTCAAAACACAAGTTAGCAGAGTTTTTAAAATTCCTAAAAAGCTTCCAAATGTCAAAGACTTCCCATTTTGCGGTATCTAAGATGTTGACTGTCCGAGAGTCCAAGAGGATGGATGCTTGCCTGCTTATGGAGCAACTGAATAGTTTCATTTGACATGTTTTCCCATGAGAAGTAGGCTTCCAGTTGTCAGAAGGTTTTTTCCTTAAAATACGCAGTTCTGCCCCCAGTAAGCCATCTTTTTCTAATGCACTGATATCAAAAATGTATTTCTGCTTTTTAACAGCTGGAGCACGGTCATCTAAAGAGAGAAAGAGGGAGAGATGTATGTATATTGAACAGAAATTTGTTCAAAATTTCAGTTTCTCTTAATAATACACAATGACCTTCACTATTAGTTTGCAGCCTTGGGAATTATAAAACAATGCTATGGAAATGCTACAAGTTCATACTCCATGGAGGCTTACTAAAAGAACACTTCGAATTCAGACATAGAAATATTTCTGCATTATTTTAGTCTGTGTTCTTGTCCCCCAAAGTTAATCCGACAGTACATTAAGGCTAATCAATAGGACTTAGTTTCCATTTGACTGCATTTGGTATTAAGATTCCAGACGGCAAATTTAATACATTTTGTTTTATTGTACTTTTAGTCACTTATGTGCTGTCACTTGATTTAGCGTTTGAAGGCATACATTCTCTTTTATATACTATCTACCTATTGAGATACATAGAGAAAGTGTGAGAGAGAGAGTCTTTGTTGTCAATTAGCATGACACTTCCTTTAGTCTAGATAAAGACTAAACTCTCAACATAAAATGACTGATTCAAGCTAAATTTACCAAGCATGGTTGCACAAATCATTCATTCCAATGGTGCTTGTGTCAGAGACCCGTGCACCCAACAGCACTGTCACTTGATCCATCCAGCATTCACAGGTTGCTGTGGGGCCCTGTGAGGGTCTAAGGAAGAATGTGGATGGACTCCTGATGAGTTCTTGGAGACATCACCAAAATATTAAATCTCCTGCTTATTTCTTATAACAAGGTACATCTAAATTTGTTTGATTCATAACAACAGACAAACAACAAAATCAGAAAGGACTGACTGACTGACTGACTGACTGAAAATCAGAAAGACTCGAGAGTCTTCTTCTCCCCAAGTCTAACCCTTTAAATTGGTATTTTAGCTGAAATGGACTAATTGGGTATTGTTTGCTGCAGCAGATATACTGCCACCATACACTTTTAGTAGCCTGTTCTGCAGGAAATAAAAGCATTTTATTTCACTGTAAAACAACAACAACAACATAATCCTAAAATTACTAATATCACTGAGATAAAAGCATGGCCGTTTTGTTTGGTAATTGTAAACATACCAAAAAGCTGATGTGAAAAATGCTTTTTAAATCTACAGTGCAAGGATGAAAATGCCAAGATTTTTGGAAATACAGATCCCCTCTGCCCTTTAACTTCTGACATGGATTTCATACACTTGAAAGATAGGCAAACATTCTATTTTCTTACCTTGCCCCTTGTCTATGAAGCTTGTAATTGTATTGGCAAGCCCAGTCTCCAGTTTTACGCTTCCATTAACACCTTTCCGTTCTGCATCAGAGAGAGTCCTGTACAGGGAGAGCATGTATTCATGTGGGGTGATCGCAGGATGCCTGAACGCCTCCTTAGATTCCCTTTGGGCAATAGCTTCTTTAGTCTTTTTGGTTTTGAAGGAGCTGGCATCTGAATTGCTGGTGCCAGTTTTCTTCAGTGGGGCCTTGGGGCCAAAGTTCTGTAGCTTCGGGGTCACTGTCCTTATTCCCGATTGTCTGTTTGAAGATTGAACTCCTACCTTTTTGTCTGTGCTCCCTGCTTTAGAGAGAGTCTTCTTTGAGTCATCAGTCTTTGCCAAGAGAAGTCCGGCTTGCGCATTATTATTTTTTGCCCTAGACTTTGAATTCCCAGCACTATATCCATGGTTCCCCGTTCTAAATGTACCTGCCCTTGGCAAGGGGTTTCTCTCTTTTCCATCTATGTTTGACAATCCTAATTTGGATCCTGGATTGCCTTGACTTGCTTCAGCAGGACTCCGTGCTAAGGAAATGAAAACGAGGTAAAACCAGCTAAAGTGCCAAAGCAGTAGAGTAAGAAAGTGCAGGATTTTCATCCTCTGGTCTTCCTTTGAATGCCACCAAAGAAAAAATCAGAAAAGGTTCCTCCAGTTTGGCATAAGAAAACATGAAAAAAATTAAGAACCAAAGTCAGCAGAAAGCGTTTTATTTTAAGCTTAAAGCACTTTAAATCTACTTGTTTAATATTTGTATCCAGTCCCATAGTGGAAATGCTAATTTAGTCAATTTGGTCTTCTCCTGGTTTCTGCTAGCAGCTTGTTCTTGAAAAGAGAAAGTTTACCACCCCCCTTTCTTCTGTAAAAGTGACTAAAAACTTGAAGGACTCTTGTTTAAATCGGAGAGGGTTTTTTTTCCAAGAAGGAAGAATGGCGTAATGCTGCCTCTGTATTAAAAGGTTTTTTAAAAAGTTTTGAATCCCTTCCAGTGAAAATATTTCACACACAGAAACCTGCAGGTGCTCAGAAATCTTTTACAAACCTGAACTCAGGAATTGGAAGCGGAATTCCAACAAAAACCTATTTAATTACTCTCTGATGTCATGCTGTCTAAACTAATTTAAGTGTGATATATTTCTTTTAAAAAGTCTTCTTTGCCCTTTCCATTAGCATGAGTCATACTCTGCTTCATGTAAAACAACTCTGTAGGACCCAAACTCTATAGAATATGCAATTTAAAGTGGCAACTTGTTGCCTCTTTTAGCCTTAAATGAACTTCTCATTTTAAACAAGACAAAGCCGTATAAGAGAAAAAGTAGAAGCCTTTAACAAAATCAGTTGGAATAAATGCATTAAAGCATGCTCTAATTCACAGAGATGTTTTATAAAGTTCTTCTGAACATAGACGCTGACCTTTATTAGCAGCAATTTCCTTCTGTCACTGAGTGATGAAAGGATGAGAGTTAACAAGAGTATTAACAAAATAAACTCTTCTTTAATAAGCACGTTAAAACATTTATTATGACATAGTTTTAAAAGTCTTTAAGAAATTAAGCAAAATCTCATGTGATGCCTAGCTAAGGGAATATTTGCTAGCGCCGCATAAAGCTTTTTAGAGTCTTTTATTTAACTGGTTCTCTTTGCCAGGATTAGTCAATGTTTAAGCAGCAGTGTCCCCTGCAGGAACCTAGAGCTCCTGTGAAAGAAAAGACAGCTTGTTTAAATAGTTTAGTATAAATGTGATATTTTACAGAAAAATTAAAAAATTGCTATTACAAAACAGACTGCTGGAACTGTGAAGGTACTATATATCATAAATACCTTTATACCGGTATGTGGAATGAAGCTTTCTTGCTGCATTGATTCCAGAAAACAGGATATAAACTTTGGGAAAACAGACCGTGAATTAGGCAAATAATGTCTTCTAGATTGTAACAAAAACAGGTGAGCTTCGCTGAGTGATGTCTTCTGCATGAAGAAGAGCATCCCAAATCTTTAATCTTGTACATGTTGCTCAACAAAATTTGGCCCCAAGATGAATTCTGCTGCATAGGGAATGTTTCAGGGGCTTCTTGTCCACCTGTGCACCACAACCTACATCACCTGCTGAAATATGCCCAGGAGCTATGACTGCTTTGTCCAATGCTTCTTTTTGTTTTTATTTATTTATTTACTTTAGATGGATGAAATGTCTGATTGGGGCTGTGTCCACCTTAGGCATTCATATGCACCTGGGTCACTGTTTCCCTGTGTATATTTCTGTGCATCCAAATGTGAGCGCTTTTAGTTTTAAGCCTCTGAAATCTCTCTCAATGTTTCCCATCCACATCAGTTGGTGGTGTTTGATGGGATTTATTCACACAGTGTGTTGCTGTCTCCTCCCCTTGATTAGGACTCCCCCACCCACCATCGTTTCCAGAAACCTGTGGTCCACTGTAGGCATGTGCACAGATATCATTTATCTTAATTTAAGATAAAATTATAGGTTTTTTTAGTTACCAAATTTGCGCAAAAAAGCAGGCAAGTAAAAAAAAAGGGTGCGTCGCTCCAAAATGAAAACAAAATGGAAGAAGTGTGGCAATAGATGGCACACAGTGAAATGTCACCATGTATGTAAACAAACTTGCCCATGCAATGTACACAATGTGCTTCAATGCCTTCACAGTTGGGTCACATGGGATTTTATATTGGATCTTATTCCCTTGTCAGATGACTGGCATATCAGGAAAATCCGAATGGGGGCAGGGAGGAGAGCAGGGTACCATTTAAATGAGGAGGATGTCATTTGCCAGACAAAAATACAGAGACACAAACAGCTTCAAATTCCCATTAAATTTCAGTGTGTTAACAATTACAATCCCATATATACTTATCTAAGGCATATATACAGGGTGATTCATAATGAAGTATACAGTTTCCATTTACTATGAATGGAAACTGTATACTTCATGATGAATCACTCTGTACTGTATATATATTATTGTTAACTCTTGTAATAATATAGTAGACCTTTTTCTTTTTTCACTTCTTCTATTTATGTTGTTAAAACTGTTCTTTAAAAATGTTTTTTTTAAAAAATAAACTGCAGTGTGAATAAGTCCTGGATCTTCCATTAACCTTAAGGCACAAAACAAAACAAAAAATTTGTGTGTCGCTCCAAGTCAGGCAAAAAACAAAACAAAATTCAAAGCGGAGCTGGTGGATTACTGATTTGATTGGGGAAGCAGGCTAGAGAGGGTTAACCCTTCTCCACTATCCCATCCCAACTCCAAACAAAATTGCCCTCTAAAGCTATTATTAGGATGGCAAAAGGTACTGATGCACCTTGGCACTACAGACTTTGCTGTTAAGTCTCCCAGTTGCTGCAGGAACACCACAGCTTTGTCACATGTAGTCAAGTTTTTAAATTCAGAATAATTACAAGATTTCTTCTATATATGTCAGAAAAGTGACTTGTTTCTATTAGAAAAAGGAATGAGCCCAACCAGCTCAGAGAAAATAAAAAATAAAGGAGGTGTTAATTGGGGTTGAGGGTGTCATTTGATCCTTAAACCATTTTTTTCCCCTGCCAACAGTTGGTTTTGACCATGACCAGAAGCAGAAATGTTTAAAGAAAGTACTACTTCAAACATTAATTTTCTTACTAACTGTGCTCTAATAGCCTGAAGGCATGATCTCCATTGTACAAATAGAGATTGCAGTCCTCAAACCACTAATGAGCGCTATAGTTTTTTATGCTGACGCAGCTGTTTGGGGACTGAGCAGTTCTTTAGAAGTTAAAGCACAGGGAATTTCAGCAGTTTGACAAAGAACACGTGAGGTGCAGTGTTAGAAACTCAGATATATAAGCTAGGCACCAAATAGCTCCTTAAACCAGGGTTACAGTCATCAAAACGGAATGCCTAGTTGCCATTTTTATGCCAGAAGGCTCAAAAGTCATCTTTTTCAATTACTTTTTGGTTCCTAACATTCAATCTGATTGTGCAATAAAATATAAAGAATAGAATAGAACATACAGGATATGTTGCTAGTGTGTGAAAACAGGCAAGATCCAAGGATCCCCAGGCACACACCTCCAGATGGTGGAGACGTCAGGCACCTTTCTGACACCCGGTCATCTTCACATGGTTGCAAGTAGCCGATAGCCAGCTGCAAAATGCATCTAGTGCCTGGCGAATTTGAGCGCTGGAGATGAGAAAGAAAAGCCTAGAGTAGGGTATATACAGTTATCCTGACTCCCCAAGGCAAGGCATTTCCCAATCTCTTCATTTTACCAGATTTTAATATGAAAACTTACTATATTTTCAGCTGAACAATGTGGACTTGCTTGGGCTCAAGAGACTTTAAAGTCAGGCACAGGCAGAGGGTACAGAGGAAGGAGAGGAAGATGGAGACAAGGGTAATGGGAAAGGATGTGCACTTAGGATTGGTTTAAGTGGAACAGGAATGGAAAACCCGTGACCTCCAGATCTTGTTGGACTCCATCAGCCAATGGTCAGGAATGGTAGAGGTTGTAGTTCGGCAACCTTTTGAGGGCAGCAGGTTCCCCACCTGTAGAGGATGAGGCCTAAGGGGTTTTACTATTATATGAGGACATACCCCTCATCCTAGTGTTGGGCTGGACTCTGCCCCCTTTAAATGCAGGGTTTTTTAATACTTGGAAAGTTTGAAATGGCTAGGATAAAAAAACCCCACATTTAAGGTGGCGAAACATTGGGGTGGGGATGTCCCCATATTAATGGGGAGACAGGCTGGTGCAAATCCACATATTGCTTCAGTGTGGATAAGCCCTTCAGTCTAATCTCCTCCAGTTAAGACTTTTGGACTGCTTGCTAGAGGCCATCCCAAACCCTAGGATCTCTCATGAGTACTTTATAATTGTCAACCCACTTGTTTGTTTCCCAGCATTCAGTCTGCTAGATTTTTGCCATTCTCAGTCCAGCACACCAACTATCCTCCTCATTCTGCTGAGGGAATTGACTATGTATGTTTCCAGTATAGGTCTTAATCTGCAAATGGGTTGTTGAGACGTTGTAAATAGGCAACAAATTTGTCTTGATTGGATTTTCTGTGGGAAGAGTAAATCTAGAGGGGAAAATATGGGCTGGTGTTTTGATGCCAGTGATGTGGCTACTGCAAAACAAACAAACACACAAAAACTTGCATGCATGAGGTGCACTGATCTCACAATAAATGTGTCTGGAAGCATTCTATGGTAGCATAACAAATTCTTATTATATGTCCATGGTATTACTGGTAGGTACCTCGCTCATTTTTTTCGCCTACCTAGCTGTGCAATTTGAAACAATTTCCATGCTCTGTTTCCTCCTTCTTCGTTTCAGAGGCTGTGTGCTTTCTGATCCAGTGCTTGGGTACAAAACTCTAGCCATTAAAATTTCCCCCTGGCTATCTCCAGCACAAAAGCTTGTTCCTGGGCAACCAGGCCAATTCCACCCATTAAGTGGGAGTAAGTCTCATTAGAGCTATTTAGTGCTGTTACAGCAAAACCTTCAGTTTATTAGCTATACGGACAGAAACTCTTCATGATAGGAGCTGTCCATAAATTGTACAAGCAGAAAGTGGAGGCCGAGGGACTGCCTAGATGTATGCCAAATATATGCCACAGCAGGCTATGGCGCCCAAGAATGATTGCAAACTTTTAGAATGTCTCACTATATGGAATATCCTGGCGTAACCTTAGCTATGGCAGGGCTTGAGCTTCACTAAAGTAAACAGAAAAGTGAAGAAAGAATAGTGTGTTTCAGTGTCAAGAGGCTTAGCAAATATATGCAGGCAATGTACTCAGACTGCAACAGTACTCCGGAGGGAGCAGTTTTAAAAATGGTTCCTATCTACAAATCACTGCTCTTCAGACCTTATGTTTAGCTAGTTTCAGAGAGAAAAATCCCTTTGCTAACCTAGGAAGCCACCATATGATATAGTTTAAGCCGTCACCAAAAGACATATGGCCAACCATCTTCTTTGGAAGGAAATAATAAGTTGTACAGCACTAGAACGCCACACTCTTTGCTTTGTAATAAAGCTAAGAAAAAGTTCTCTGCAGGATTCTAAAGAACCACAACTTGGGTTTCATGCTCCCCAGCTACTGGGAACACCTGCTGAAGTAGCCACTGATGTGAGT